AATCAAACCCGGGCCACAGGACTAATTAAGTGACCAGCGTGCTGTCCACACAGCCACCGGCGCCCCCAAATGCGTGTGTGTGTGTGTGTATTCACCTAATTGTGCTTGCGGGAGTTGAGCTCTGCTCTTTCGGCCCGCCTCTCAACCAACTGTTACTAACTATTAATCAATTTGTATTTTTTCACACACACACACACACACACACACACACACACACACCACACACACACACACACACACACACACACACACACACACACACACACACACACACACACACACACACACGCACGCACACACACGCACGCACACACACACACACACACACACACACACACACACACACACACACACACACACACACACACACACACACACACACACACACACACACACACACACACACACACACACACACACACACGCACACACACACACGCACGCACACACACACACACACACACACACACACACACACACACACACACACACACACACACACACACACACACACACACACACACACACACACACACACACACACACACACACACACACACACACACACACACACACACACACACAGGTGACAATTAAAGATTAAGCAAGAAAGAGAGGGCTGGGCGGACTGCATTTTCTTGGATTGTCGGAAAGCCTTTGACACAGTACCGCATAAGAGGCTGGTACATAAGCTGGAGAGACAGGCAGGTGTAGCTGGTAAGGTGCTCCAGTGGATAAGGGAGTATCTAAGTAATAGGAAGCAGAGAGTTACGGTGAGGGGTGAGACCTCCGATTGGCGTGAAGTCACCAGTGGAGTCCCACAGGGCTCTGTACTCGGTCCTATCTTGTTTCTGATATATGTAAATGATCTCCCAGAGGGTATCGATTCATTTCTCTAAATGTTTGCAGACGATGCAAAAATTATGAGAAGGATTAAAACAGAAGAGGACTGTTTGAGGCATCAAGAAGACCTAGACAAGCTGAAGGTATGGTCGAACAAATGGTTGTTAGAGTTTAACCCAACCAAATGTAATGTAATGTAATGAAGATAGGTGTAGGGAGCAGGAGGCCAGATACAAGGTATCATCTGGGAGAGGAAATTCTTCAGGAGTTAGAGAAGGAAAAAGACTTGGGGGTTGATATCACGCCAAACCTGTCTCCTGCAGCACATATCAAGCGGATAACATCAGCGGCATATGCCAGGCTGGCCAACATGCGAACGGCATTCAGAAACTTGTGTAAAGAATCATTCAGAACTTTGTATACCACATATGTCAGGCCAATCCTGGAGTATGCAGCCCCAGCATGGAGTCCATATCTAGTCAAGCATAAGACTAAACTGGAAAAGGTTCAAAGGTTTGCCACCAGACTAGTACCCGAGCTGAGAGGTATGAGCTACGAGGAGAGACTACGGGAATTAAACCTCACTTCGCTGGAAGACAGAAGAGTTAGGGAGGACATGATCATCACATTCAAGATTCTGAAGGGAATTGATAGGGTAGATAAAGACAGTCTATTTAACACAAGGGGAACACGTACAAGGGGACACAGGTGGAAACTGAGTGCCCAAATGAGCCACAGAGATATTAGAAAGAACTTTTTTTAGTGTCAGAGTGGTGGACAAATGGAATGCATTAGGAAGAGATGTGGTGGAGGCTGACTCCATACACAGTTTCAAGTGTAGATATGACAGAGCCCGATAGGCTCAGGAATCTGTACACCTGTTGATTGACGGTTGAGAGGCGGGACCAAAGAGCCAGAGCTCAACCCCCGCAAACACAACTGATACTAAAACACTCTGATACAAAAACAAACACTCTGATACTAAAAAAGTTCTTTCTAATATCTCTGTGGCTCATTTGGGCACTCAGTTTCCAACTGTGTCCCCTTGTGCGTGTGCCCCTTGTGTTAAATAGCCTGTCTTTATCTACCCTATCAATTCCCTTGAGAATCTTGAATGTGGTGATCATGTCCCCCCTAACTCCTGTCTTCCAACGAAGTGAGGTTTAATTCCCGTAGTTTCTCCTCGTAGCTCATACCTCTCAGCTCGGGTGCTAGTCTGGTGACAAACCCTTGAACCTTTGCCAGTTTAGCCTTGTGCTTGACTAGATATGGACTCCATGCTGGAGCCGCATACTCCAGGATTGGTCTGACATATGTGGTATATAATGTTCTGAATGACTCCTTACACAAGATTCTAAAGGCCGTTCTTATGTTACCCAACCTGGCATATGCCGCTGATGTTATCCTCTTGATATGAGCTTCAGGGGACAGGTCTGGCGTGATATCAACCCCTCCGGTCTTTCTCTCTCTCTCTCTGACTCTTGAAGTATTTCATCTTCCAAATGATACCTTGTATCTGGTCTCCTGCTCCCTACATCTATCTTCATTGCATTACATTTGCTAAGGTTAAACTCTAACAACCATTTGTTCGACCATTCCTGCAGCTTGTCCAGGTCTTCTTGAAGCCTCAAGCTGTCCTCCTCTGTCTTAATCGTTCTCATAATTTTGGCGTCATCAGCAAACATTGAGAGGAATGAGTCTATACCCTCTGGGAGATCATTTACGTATATCAGAAACAGGATAGGTCCAAGTACAGAGCCCTGTGGGACTCCACTGGTGACTTCACGCCAGTCTGAGGTCTCACCCCTCACTGTAACTCTCTGCTTCTTATTGCTTAGGTACTCCTTTATCCACTGGAGCGCCCTACTAGTTACTCCTGCCTGTTTCTCCAGCTTATGCATCAGCCTTCTATGGGGTACTGTATCAAAGACTTTCCGACAGTCCAAAAAAATGCAGTCCGCCAATCCTTCTCTTTCTTGCTTAATCTTTCTTGCTACCTGGAAAAACTTTCCCCTGCTTGAGCAAGCCTGTGAGTTCGTGCCTGTAGAGAGGTTACTTAACCCCCCCCCCCTTAGGAGGATAAACCATGTAGAATTAGCATCAACGAGATGACAATGAAAAAAATCCAAAACGATACCACAGGAAATGAGGCATAAGTATATTGAGGAAATTTATAAAGAAGCTGGGAATGAATTAGATCAAATCTACACTGATGGGTCATCTAATCCTGGCAATGGCAGGGCTGGTGCAGCATACACTGTAATTAGGAATAATGCCTTTCAAAACGCAAGTGAAGAAAAAGCACGCATTGAGAACTATGCCTCTTCAACGCAAGCAGAGCTAACTGCCATTGTCATGGCGTTAAGATTTCTTGAAAGAAACACTAATGGTGCAGTGATTTGCACCGATTCAAAACCAGCACAACAAAGCCTTAATAAAAATCGGACAGAAAATCTTGCGATTGTTGCTGAAATCAAGAGAGCTGTGAGGGGTACTAACCAATCATGAAAGAGTCGTCAAATTTCTGTGGCTCCCCTCACATGTTGGAATCTGTGGAAATGAACGAGCAGATGTGCTGGCTGCTGAAGGCGCTGAAGGAGACCATATTGAATACTTCATACCTAAGACTTTTCTACAAATTGGAGGTATTATCAGGCAACATCACCGTGACAAGGTGACTGAGAGAAGAAGGACAGAAGCATAAACCAGTAAATCTATACGCTGGTACAACGTGGTTGCAGCTGGCAATCCCAATCGTTATGGACGAAGAGGAGGTGGCTGCGGGAGAGAATCAGTAGTAGCAAGAATTCGTCTCGGATACAAATATCCATGCACCCGCAAGATAACGTAAGTTTTTAAGGGTTGAGAAATGTTAATCTTCTTGTTTGATAAGCTATTCACTTGAAACAGTTAAGCAAGTTCCAGTTATGTCTGGGTACAAGTTACAGGATGAACATCCCAGCGGGTTTTCTTCCTTTTAGGGAGCGTTGTACATGCTGCTATGGCGGTGTGTCCACTCACAGGATGAGTGGCGCTGCCCAATACTGCCACTATGGCGGTGTGTCCACTCACAGGATGAGTGGCGCTGCCCAATACTGCCACTATGGCGGTGTGTCCACTCACAGGATGAGTGGCGCTGCCCAATACTGCCACTATGGCGGTGTGTCCACTCACAGGATGAGTGGCGCTGCCCAATACTGCCACTATGGCGGTGTGTCCACTCACAGGATGAGTGGCGCTGCCCAATACTGCCACTATGGCGGTGTGTCCACTCACAGGATGAGTGGCGCTGCCCAATAAACTCGCCCCTCGGGGGAAAACTTAACAAAAACAACAGATCAGATATGAAATGGTGGAGAGTGTGACGAAGGGGCGGGGGCAGCGGACATTTAAATTTTCGCCCCTGAGCACAGGATGGATGTATGTCGGGGCATAATAATTTAATAATTCGCTGTGTCCAGGGACAGGCAGCCAGAATGTATTCATACACGTTTGGCTTTTATCGAGGTCCCCCCCCCCCCCACCCCCATAAGGCAGAATTACTGACCCTGCCCAGAATGTAGCCCCCACAACAAGCTGACTAACTCTTGAGTACCTACTCACTGCTAGGTGAACAGATGCATTAGGCGAAAGGAAATGTGCCCAACCATTTCTGTCCCGCCCGGGATTCGACTCCGGAATTCTCGATTGTGCGTAGAGAACGAGCCCGACTGTACTACTTGGACCCTTCACACACTCAAATAAGATAAGAATAAGAAATTCTTAGATAAGATACGAAATGAACTGAACTAACAAAGAAGGTGTTGAGACAGCGGTAACTGAGGATGGGGATATAAACCAACATACCTTACGGGGGAGAAGATCCACAGGAGCCGTCATGAGGATTCGAACCTATGCGCTGAGTATGAATCCTCATCACGACTCCTGTGGATTTTCTCACTGATATATCACGGTAATGTGATTCTCTGTATACCGGATCGTGTTCTAGAGACAAGAAGAGTTCCATGTTAACATAACCAGTTCTGGCACCTGTCCTAATTAAGGACTAAATCCCACTTTAAAGATATATATTTATATATATGAAGTTAAAGAACAGCCGTATGGGCTACTAAATAAGATGCTCAAATGAATCATAAAACTATGAGACGAATACTCACAAATGATGCTTAGTGGAGAAGAGTACAAATTATGTCCAGTGGAGGCTTGGGAGCGCGACTCTGCGACACGTCCGCACACAACAACGGCAGAAGGTACACTGAGCAATGACTGTTGAGTGTAGTAGTGCAAGAATGCCGTGCACGCGTGTGTGTGTGTGTTGGTGGGAGGGGGGGGGGGGGAGGAAGAGAGGAGCTAGAAGACGCATGAGGGAGAGGGGGTAGCAGTGGTCTGGGGTGGGGGAGGTGTGGGCTACCTGGTAATTTACCTCTCTATCTCCTCACCTGTTGTTTCTATCGCATTTTCCGTTCATTTTCCTTTCAGTAATTTTCCATCAATAGTTTAACTCTATACCCTTCCCTTGGTGTAACTCCCCACACCTGCTATAACTCCCCATCGCTTGTGTTTGATAGTGCCACATGAAAGACTGATTAAAAGATAGAGGCTTATGGTATTGGGGGTGCTATATTAAGCTGGATTAGGGCATGGCTATACCAAAGGAAACAGAGTTAGTATAAACGGGGTGAAGTCAGAGTGGGAAAATGTTGTAAGTGGAGTGCCTCAAGGCTCTGTCTTGGGACCTCTGTTGTTTATAATATATATATATATATATATATATATATATATATATATATATATATATATATATATATATATATATATATATATATATATACATGACATGATACATTTAGAACATGAATCTAAATCATTTATATATATATATATATATATATATATATATATATATATATATATATATATATATATATATATATATATATATATATATATATAAATGATTTAGATTCATGTTTCAGTAGCAACATTTGCAAATTTGTCGATGATACAAATCGGTAGGGAAGTTAACATGGAAGAAGACTCACTATCACTTCAAGTTGATCTAGATAGGGTTTTGAAATGGTCAAAAGATTGGCAGATGCAGTTTAATTCTGATAAATGTAAAGTTCTGAGGCTAGGTAATGATGATAGAGTTACAAGATACGAGCTAGATGGTGTTAAGATTGCGAAGTCGGATTGCGAAAGGGATCTGGGAGTTATGATTAGTAAGAACTTAAAACCAAAGGATCAATACATAAATGTTTGTAATATGGCAAATAAGAAACTGGGATTTATTAATCGAAGCGTTAGTAACAAGACACCTGGTGTTGTTCTTCATCTATATCTTGGTCTGGATAGGCCCCATTTAGATAATGCAGTTCAGTTTTAGTCGCCGTACTATAGAATGGATATAAATTCACTTGAACGAGTCCAGCGTAGGATGACAAAATTAATTACCAAATTAGAAATCTTTCATATGAAGAAAGATTAACAAAGTTAAAATTGCATTCACTGGAAAGGCGAAGAGTTAGGGGTGACATGATGTAGGTTTACAAGTGGATGAATAGACATAACGAAAGGGGTTTTAATAGGGTATTAAAAGTATCAACACAAGACAGAACACGAAACAATGGGTCTAAATTGGATAAGTTTAGATTCAGGAAAGATTCAAAGATTTTAGATTCAAAGGCAACTTCTGCAGTTGCCTTTGTTCTTATATTCTTATGAAAGATTTGGGTAAATACTGGTTCGGTAACAGAGGTATTGATTTGTGAAATCAATTACCGCGTAACGTGGTGGAGGTGGGGGTCCCTGTATTGTTTCAAACGAGGGTTGAAACACACACGACCTTCCCTTGACCCTCCCTCCCTCCCTGCCCACACACGACCTTCCCTTGCCCCCCCTCCCTCCCTGCCCACACACGACCTTCCCTTGCCCCCCCTCCCTCCCTGCCCACATACGACCTTCCCTTACCCACCCCCCTCCCTCCCTGCCCACACACGACCTTCCCTTGCCCCCCCTCCCTCCCTGCCCACACACGACCTTCCCTTGCCCCCCCTCCCTCCCTGCCCACACACGACTTCCCTTACCCCCCCCCCCTCCCTCCCTGCCCACACACGATCTTCCCTTGCCCCCCCCCCCTCCCTCCCTGCCCACACACGACCTTCCCTTACCCACCCCCCCCCCTCCCTTCCCACAAACGACCTTCCCTTGCCCCCCCCCCTCCCTCCCTGCCCACACACGACCTTCCCTTGCCCCCCCCTCCCTCCCTGCCCACACACGACCTTCCCTTACCCCCCCTCTCCCTCCCTGCCCACACACGACCTTCCCTTGCCCCCCCGTCCCTTCCTCCCTGCCCACACACGACCTTCCCTTACCCCCCCCCCCCTCCCTGCCCACACACGACCTTCCCTTGCCCCCCCTCCCTCCCTGCCCACACACGACCTTCCCTTACCCCCCCTCCCTCCCTGCCCACACACGACCTTCCCTTACCCCCCCCCCTCCTTCCCTGCCCACACACGACCTTCCCTTACCCCCCCCCCCCCCCTCCCTGCCCACACACGACCTTCCCTTACCCCCCCTCCCTCCCTGCCCACACACGACCTTCCCTTACCCCCCCTCCCTTCCTGAACACACACGACCTTCCCTTGGCCCCCCCTCCCTCCCTGCCCACACACGACCTTCCCTTACCCCCACCCCTCCCTCCCTGCCCACACACGACCTTCCCTTACCCCACCCTCCTTCCCTGCCCACACACGACCTTCCCTTACCCCCCCCCCCCCCCCCTCCCTCCCTGCCCACACACGACCTTCCCTTACCCCCCCCTCCCTCCCTGCCCACACACGACACAATGGATATAAATTCACTTGAACGAGTCCAGCGTAGGATGACAAAATTAATTACCAAATTAGAAATCTTTCATATGAAGAAAGATTAACAAAGTTAAAATTGCATTCACTGGAAAGGCGAAGAGTTAGGGGTGACATGATGTAGGTTTACAAGTGGATGAATAGACATAACGAAAGGGGTTTTAATAGGGTATTAAAAGTATCAACACAAGACAGAACACGAAACAATGGGTCTAAATTGGATAAGTTTAGATTCAGGAAAGATTCAAAGATTTTAGATTCAAAGGCAACTTCTGCAGTTGCCTTTGTTCTTATATTCTTATGAAAGATTTGGGTAAATACTGATTCGGTAACAGAGGTATTGATTTGTGAAATCAATTACCACGTAACGTGGTGGAGGTGGGGGTCCCTGTATTGTTTCAAACGAGGGTTGAAACACACACGACCTTCCCTTGACCCTCCCTCCCTCCCTGCCCACACAGGACCTTCCCTTGCCCCCCCTCCCTCCCTGCCCACACACGACCTTCCCTTGCCCCCCCTCCCTCCCTGCCCACATACGACCTTCCCTTACCCACCCCCCTCCCTCCCTGCCCACACACGACCTTCCCTTGCCCCCCCTCCCTCCCTGCCCACACACGACCTTCCCTTGCCCCCCCTCCCTCCCTGCCCACACACGACCTTCCCTTACCCCCCTCCCTCCCTGCCCACACACGATCTTCCCTTGCCCCCCCCCCTCCCTCCCTGCCCACACACGACCTTCCCTTACCCACCCCCCCTCCCTCCCTTCCCACAAACGACCTTCCCTTGCCCCCCCCTCCCTCCCTGCCCACACACGACCTTCCCTTACCCCCCCTCTCCCTCCCTGCCCAAACACGACCTTCCCTTGCCCCCCGTCCCTCCCTCCCTGCCCACACACGACCTTCCCTTACCCCCCCCCCTCCCTCCCTGCCCACACACGACCTTCCCTTGCCCCCCCTCCCTCCCTGCCCACACACGACCTTCCCTAACCCCCCCCCTCCCTCCCTGCCCACACACGACCTTCCCTTACCCCCCCTCCTTCCCTGCCCACACACGACCTTCCCTTACCCCCCCCTCCCTCCTTGCCCACACACGACCTTCCCTTACCCCCCCTCCCTCCCTGCCCACACACGACCTTCCCTTACCCCCCCCCTCCCTTCCTGCCCACACACGACCTTCCCTTGGCCCCCCCTCCCTCCCTGCCCACACACGACCTTCCCTTACCCCCCCCCCTCCCTCCTTGCCCACACACGACCTTCCCTTACCCCACCCTCCTTCCCTGCCCACACACGACCTTCCCTTACCCCCCCCCCTCCCTCCCTGCCCACACACGACCTTCCCTTACCCCCCCCTCCCTCCCTGCCCACACACGACCTTCCCTTGCCCCCCCTCCCTCCCTGCCCACACACGACCTTCCCTTGACCCCCCCTCCCTCCCTGCCCACACACGACCTTCCCTTACCCCCCCCTTCCCTCCCTGCCCACACACGACCTTCCCTTGCCCCCCTCCCTCCCTGCCCACACACGACCTTCCCTTACCCCCCCCTCCCTCCCTGCCCACACACGACCTTCCCTTGCCCCCCCTCCCTCCCTGCCCACACACGACCTTCCCTTACCCCCCCTCCCTCCCTCCCTGCCCACACACGACCTTCCCTTGCCCCCCCTCCCTCCCTCCCTGCCCACACACAACCTTCCCTTACCCCCCCTTCCCTCCCTGCCCACACACGACCTTCCCTTGCCCCCCCCTCCCTCCCTCCCTGCCCACACACGACCTTCCCTTACCCCCCCCTCCCTCCCTCCCTGCCCACACACGACCTTCCCTTGCCCCCCCTCCCTCCCTCCCTGCCCACACACGACCTTTCCTTACCCCCCCTTCCCTCCCTGCCCACACACGACCTTCCCTTACCCCCCCCTCCCTCCCTCCCTGCCCACACACGACCTTCCCTTACCCCCCCTTCCCTCCCTGCCCACACACGACCTTCCCTTACCCCCCCTCCCTCCCTCCCTGCCCACACACGACCTTCCCTTGCCCCCCCTCCCTCCCTCCCTGCCCACACACGACCTTCCCTTACCCCCCCCTTCCCTCCCTGCCCACACACGACCTTCCCTTGCCCCCCCTCCCTCCCTCCCTGCCCACACACGACCTTCCCTTGCCCCCCCCTCCCTCCCTCCCTGCCCACACACGACCTTCCCTTGCCCCCCCTCCCTCCCTCCCTGCCCACACACGACCTTCCCTTACCCCCCCCTTCCCTCTCTGCCCACACACGACCTTCCCTTACCCCCCCCCCTCCCTCCCTCCCTGCCCACACACGACCTTCCCTTACCCCCCCCCACTTCCCTCCCTGCCCACACACGACCTTCCCTTACCCCCCCTCCCTCCCTCCCTGCCCACACACGACCTTCCCTTGC